AAAATATACCATAAATAAAATTATCGACCCACACTGGCTGCAATAAAAACATAAACATACGGGTCAAGATACTAAAACTTATTAAAATATTGCTGAAATAAAAAGGTCTTAACCTGGTGCCAAAAACCATATAACAACAGTGCCAGGCGGACCTCTCTGTGGAGCGCATTCCATTCCAAAATTTAAAAACCAGATTTAAAATTGAACTACAATTACTAGCACAAGCCACAAATTAAGACAGCTGATGTAATACCCAATTATGCCCCAATATATAATTCAGAGCTGATTAAAATGTTTCACTGCAACATCCTGCATGTGCTGAGCTGTCCCTTCTGCATAGGCAACTAAGGCAGCAGGGCCAGGAAATGGTCTGCCTTGAAAAGAACGTTCTCAGATCGGCGCTAGCAGAGTGAATCCAGGACAGTGACCCCTCCAGAAAGAGAGGCAAACATTATAGGCCTCCGAAGAGCCAGGCTAACAAGTCATGCCCCACACCAAATTGCAGGTTCTTGGCAAGCATGAAAGGAACCTCAGAAAAATGAGGAGGGAACCACCGCCAGACGAATGGCCACAGTCTCAGGCTTAAGGCGACCTTAAAGGGGAGCTCAGGACTGGGGCAGGATCACTGCTGAAGGAGGCCAGGTGTAAGGGATCCCTTCTGAAGTGGGAAAGGGCTAGAAGAGGAAGGAGGGCAGCCGCTGAGGTTGCGCTCTGTTTATTAAAGGTGCTGCCAGGCCACCATGCTGCTCTCAGCAACCTTTTTGGGATTGGCCAGGCTGGTTCAGGCCTTTGTGCAAGAGACAGTCGATCATTTAATTTGGAATTGTCTGCTGGGTGTGGCAAAGTTGGCACTCAGAGGAAGGCCCCAGAGTTTGAGATCACAGCTGGGCGAGGAACTCTGACAGGCACTGCAGTCCTAAGGCATGTAGGGCTTTATAGGTTAAAACCAGCACCTTGAACTGGGCCCAGACACATGCAGGCAGCCAATGCAGGCAGGCCAGAACCTGATGTGTTTGGACCTATGAATCCCTGTTATTACTCTGGTTGCAGCATTCTGCACTAGCTGGAGCTTCTGAGCCATCTTCAAGGGCAGCCCCATGTGAATTTCATCGCAGTATCTAATTTAGAGATCACCAGAGCATAGATTACTGAAGCCAGGTCCAGATGGGCCTAGCTGGGCCACTAGTTGAAGCTGGTAGAAGGCACTCCAATGCCAACTGCATCTCAGGTGACAAAGATGGATCAAGGAGCATCCCCAAGCTATGAACCTGCTGTTACGGGGGGCGGGGGGGGCGGAGGGAATGTACCCCATCTAGAACAGGTTGAACACCCACCATATGGTCAGGGAAACAACCCACCAACAGTATCTCAGCCTTGTCAGGATTGAGCTTCAGTTTGTTAGCCGTCATCCATTCCATTGTCACAGCCAGACACTGGTTTAGCACATCTGCAGCCTTACCCGCTGAAGATGGAAAGGAGAAATGGAGATGTGTGTCATCAACATACTGATGGCAACACACTCCGAAACTCCGGATGACCCACTCAGTGGTTTCATATAGTTGTTGCATTCCATGCAGGGTGGAAGATTCCTGGGGAACTCCATGCTGAAGAATCCATGGGGCTGAAGAGTATTTCCCAAGCACCACCTCCTGGAGGAGGCCTTCCAAGTAGAAGCAGAACTTCTGCACTGCTGTGCCCCTAACTCCCAACTCTGACAGTTGCCCCAGAAGGAGTCCATGATCGATTCTATCAAAAGTTGCTGAGAAATCCAGGAGAACCTACGGGTTTACAACCCTGCCCCACCCTCTCCTGGCATAGGTCATCATACAGGGAAACCAAGGCAATTTCTGTGCCAAAATCAGGCCTGAAATGGATTCAGATGATCTCTCTCATCTAAGAGTGCCTGCAGCTGACTGGTAACTATACTCTCTGGCTACCAGGCTAAAGTTATTAAGGTCCTCCAGGCCAAGGGAGGACTGTTTCAGAAGTGCTCTCACTGCTGCCTCTTTCAGGTGACATGCAGCCACTCTCTCTTGCCAGGGGACATTAATCACCTCCCTGGCCCAGCTGTTGTTCCTTCCTTGCTGGCTTCTCCAGAGGTGGTTGTGAGGACCTGGCCAAGCACCTTGTCCACATCCTTGATCTTCTCCATGTCCAATCCAGGAATGGACTGATCGTTTGAAAAGTGGCATAAACAATACAGCCACCCAACTGCAGCTTGTCCACATACCACAAGTCACTCAATGTAGAGCCCAACAAGTTACAGCCCAGTAGATGAACAAGTAGCAGATTGGATGCTGGGCTACATTAGCGGCCAGTTATGTGTAGGATACCTTTATCCCTCCAAAATCCACCCCTATGTCTCCACCTGCTAGAACCAACCAATGCTGATTGGTACTCAGATCCACTCCTGGATGGCGCTCAGGAGATGACCCACCTCCAAGTCTACACAGTAGCACAAGCAGGTGCTCAAGTGAACAGTGAATGGACTTGCCTTCAGCCAGGTTTACTGGCTCTGGGTGATCTCTCTTTAGCTGTCAATGTGCAGCTTTCAGAAGACTGCATGTGTTTGGAGCAATTACAGGGAAAGGAACATCCTGTCACCATTTTCCCAAGAACTTGGCAAGCCTTCCTCATCTACTCTGCCTTTGAAACAAAAATGGAGTTGGAATGGCATTGAAAGCCTGGCTAGTGAGGGAAGGTTGCTTGCAAGACCCTTGTCTGAATAGTCCTGCACTGCATATTACCCTCACTCGGTGCTGCTTTGTAACAGAAGCACAGGTTGCAGAAGAGCCCTTGGCCCCTCAACGGCTAGATCTGGCTTTAGAGAAGTTTTCTGTCCAACTGGAACTCTGCCAACTCTTCCTAATATATCATTATGCTTTCAAATGTAGGACAAGCTCTCTCCATGCATAGCGAGCAACCAGTCTTGGATGACACTTTGTGGCTTATCATGAGTTAAACCCATGAGTCATGGTGCCACCTTGCATATGCAGCACCTGCTTGGAGATTGTTGTGTTGCACAACCCTGCTGAGTGTAGGTTATGTGCAGATTGAACCAGCCAGTCCACAACCATCAAGCAGTTAGGAACACTACCTTTAGGGTTGCTTAATCCTCGCATAAGCACACTCACCATGTTCCCGCAACACGGCCACCACCACCAAGTGAGGACTGCATATTCAAACTTGCACACACCACAGTCTTGCGGTGAATTAAATGAGACAGTGATGGTACACAAACTGCCCATTGTACACCCTTTCTCAATCATGTCTATTCTAGTTCATGTACCAAAGTGAGCAGCTGGAGGATGCATGACAGAAGCACTATCATGTCTTTAACCACAGTCTTCACTTGTCTGAATATTTGTCCATCAAGAGTCTTGCTGACTTCCAAATTATTACAGTAATTTGCCATTATTAAATCTGATGCAAATGAGAAATAGCCCCAAACAGGCAAGGTGAGTCCCAAGAGAAGCAGCTCTGTTGGAAAGGTCCATGTGCTTTTTCTGTGAAAGTAATACAAGAAGCCCCTTCAGATGGAATGGGATAGTAACAATATAGGTAATTCCCAGGTTATGAATAGTCCATACTTAAGAATGCACAGACTGCCATCATCCCTATATGATCTCTAGTGAAAAGCCACAAATATTTCCAGGGAACTAAATGATGCATATGGTGACACATTATCAGTGGCCACATGGTTCCCTAGATATTCATGACTTTTTGTAGAGACAGAGATTCACTAGAGATATTCATGGCTTCTCATTAAAAATAGGCTAGACATGCACATGGTGGACATGTTGTGAGCGGAGCCGGGGGTCAGACTAGATGACCCGAGAGGCCCCTTCTGACTCAGTTTCTATGTCTGCATGTTTCTAAAGTCATACCTATCTCTAAGGAACTACACATTTGGTGACATCTCTCAGTGGCTGCATAGTTCCCTGGAGATAGTCACAGAAACCTTAGTCCAAATGTTTTCACCTTCTCCAACAAGCTCTTTAACTCCTGATAACACATTTGTCCCCTCCTCCACATAAGCCTTGTGGGCCATCAGGAACTGGAACTAGAAGCTCAAGAAATGCTCGGCCAGCTGTGCCCTTGTACATGAACCAATTGCCATGGATTAAAGTGTTTTGAATAGAATAAACAGGCACTGTACTGTATTGCCCTAGCAGCCCATTATCAGAGGACCTCAGAAGATAATAAGGAAGTGATAAGATCCAAGTTATTTTCTATTGAGTTTTCATTAAAATTAAAGATGGACAGAAAATGAAGCTCAAACATACATTAAGCCAGGCATAACAGGCAAATTATGACAATTTTTTCCATCTCATATACTCTCACACACACACACATTCTTGCGTGCTCTCTCTCTCTCTCTCTTTTGTACCTGTAGTTACTTTATTATTACTGTATTGTCATCATTAATACAATGTTGTAATGTGTTTAAGATGTTTTAGTGAATATCGAAGTGTTTAAGTGTTTTATATGCACAGAATGGTAAAACATACATATACTAAGACAAACATTTGACTTACTCATGTGATTCCACTTGCATACAAATACAACTTAAGGAAGTTCTCAGGAACTGAACTTGTCCATTACCCGAGAACTACCTGTGTATATATTGTCATATGAACAGCAAGTTTGGTTCTCTGCAAACATATAATCTCTCTAGGCACTCAAAAGATGAATGGCAACCAAGGAGCTCCTTGACAATCCATTCCATGATTCCAAGCGGATGAAAAGACTATACCTATTTGATTCAGATCATCAAGAATAACCCTGGATAAAAGACCTGACCAGGAATAGCCTGGTTATCAGCATGCTCTGAACATTTCTGGAAACCAGTGCAGGGTTATTCTTGCAAAGTTTGCATCCCTGGAGTTCCACATCACCAACCAGCAAAAGATTTGATCTTAAGAGTGCAGAAGACATTCTACCCAATAAGGAAAACCAGATTAGTGCACACAAAGAAATACACATAAATATCCTGTGCAAATGGTTCCAAAATTTATTTGAATATTTAATTTACAAAAAGAAAAACAAGAATCATGTATCCTATGAGATGTCTATGCAAAAGTGGATAAGATAAACTGCATATAAAATCCAGCCCAACCCAACATAATACTATTAATTGCAGTGGTGAGACAGAAATGAACCAGTGGAAAAGATAATGTAAGGTAAAAGTGACATTCTCCTTAAAGATTGTCCCAACTAGCCAATTCTCCCTCTTCCCTCCCCCCACCTTTTCTTCCTACTGTACACTGCTATTTGATATAAATATCTTTATGTTCCAATGGGCTTAAGCATCTCTCTCTCAGTCTCTCTCTCTCTCTCTTGTTCATTCAGCTCCTCCCTGAAATTCTTCTTTCAAACAAAAATGGACAGGACACACACTGAACACATGGACAGACTGTCTTTGGTAGGGATGCCTGGGTGGTGATTAATAATAACTAACTGGTTGTTTACTTATTCCAGTAATGTAGAGGCAAGAGCTTCTGCTTCACATTTGGCAAAAGGCAGTGACACCAATACTGTTTAGTTGAAGTGTTACTGGCAGTTTCAGCTGGACATATAAAAACATGGTCGTTTGCTGCATTGCTCAGACTTAGAGATGATCTCCTTGGTTTTAAGCTGCTCCTATGACTGAAATATATCTGGCTGCCTAAGAGGTTTCCTACACAGCCTTCTTTCCCTCCACAACCCTCATTCCCCCAAATCATACAAACAGGGTTTGCAGAAACAAGGGTGCCTGTGCACACCCCCCTGCTCTTCCTATGACTGCAAGCGGCAGCACAGGCCTCAAGGCCAGCAAGGGGGTCCCAGGAAGGCAGAGAGAGCTTTTCTATGTACATCTGGAGGGAAGAAAATAGGCAGCGAGTGTTTATGGCATGACCTGATGGGAGCATCTCCTGGATGTGCCCCACAAGAGGTGCGATGCACAGGAGAGCTTCCTGCTGGCTTGCACACTTCTCAAGAAAATGAGAGATATTCGCCCCGCCCAACCCCTGCACTGGATCTTTCTCATGATCAGCATCTTTAAAAGGAAAGAAAAAAGAACTTTTCCTGACGGGTAATTGCCATCAGTGCAATTCTCGGGGCCTTCGGCCATCTCCCTGTATCCATGCTGGCAGTAGTCCCGAGACCGGGAAATGCAGGGTAAGCTTGCACAGCTTTGATCTGGGAAACTTTGGGATTCGGTACACATACAGATACAAAATGAAACATGCAACACTGTGAGGAGGAGCTAAACACTCCTCAGAAAATGATGACCACCACCACCACCAATTTGGCAAAAGAGTAAGGATAAGCCCCATTTTCCAAATGCATTAAAAACCTATGGTAATAGGCCGTACTGGGGAACATACAAGTTACAATATATTAGCAATTTCTGAGCCCCAAAATTTGTAAAAGCATTGCAAAGTATCTTAAATATAAAAGGAATATGTATAGACCCCCCCAGCCACCCTCCCCACCAAAAGAACATGATCTGTAGTGTAATAAGTCAGATGAATGATCGTGGTATTAAGGCATAAATGGCAGACATGATTTCCTATTGTTCAGCTCAACATAATTAGCAGGGAACAGCCCATATCTGCATTTGCATACTCCTCTCCACCAGCCGTCATCGATCATTTCAATGTTGGTGATGATGTCATCAGGATCAAAGGAAATCTCGTCATCCCCGGCTGTGGAGGGAGCAGACGCAACTTCCAGGTTAGTATCTTGCCCAGAATTGTCAGCCACGGTTGGTCACAGATTGTACTAGTGTGTCCCCTTCACTAGTGTGTGCAGCATCCTGCCCCTGGTTGGTTTGGTTTGGATGGCATCAGAAGCCATGCCCAGGCTGGTAACTAGGCCAGTGGCTCCTGGCTGAAGCCACAGTGGTCATGAAAACTGGCCCCGTCCTCAGAAGTGAATGCAGAAGGAAACTCTCACATAACCCAGAAGCTGTCTTGAGGTGGTATTCTGTGTACAAGCACACACCACTGGCAGTGTCAGCGCTAGGGCATTAACTCAGGCCCTCGAAGTTGTGCGCAAGCGGTAGCTTCCCAATAGGCTTATGCTGCACTTCAGGCGATGCTGGAGGGCAACCCCACAGGGGAACCACTACCCCAAGGAAAGGCCCATGCAGCTGATTCCAAAAAGTGGGGCAAGGGCCCAGCATTCGATCAGGATGTCCTTGTACAACAGTCCACACAGATCCTGATCTCCCAAGTTTTGCCTTGAGAGAACTTAACTCCCATCAGCTCCATTTAGCACAGGCAATGGCTAGGGATGATGGGAGTTGTGCCCTCCAGATGTTTTCAGCTGCAACTCCTGTCATCCTTGTCCATTGACCAAGCTGGCTGGGACTGATGGGAGTCCAAAATGCTCACTGGGGTGGGAGAAAATGTCCAGCAAAGTGGAAAACCAGCTGGTGCACTTGGTGGATGTCAGAAAAAATCCAGCAGCAAAGTTTATTTGTATTAAAAGAGAAAAGCACACCTATTTACATTGGACAGTGTAGAAACCTTTCCTAAAAAGAGAGCACTTCTTGGGGTCCACTGGAGGTCAGCTGAAAGTGGCCAGCGCCACTGAGTCCCTTCTTCAAATGGCTGGCATGACTTCTGCGCAGCCTTCTTGAAACAAGTGCAAATGCTCGTTTCCGGCTCTCGCAATGCCACTGTCCTGTCCTGGACTAGAAACGGGCATTCCACGTATTTCAGGCTTGCCCTTGGAGAGGTTAAATCTCTGTTCTGCAAGAGCTTGGTGCCGCTCAGGCGACAGACTCAGTGGGGCCGGCTGCTTGCAAAATGGAAGTGGCACTCAATACTGCCCCCACCTTACCTTCCAGCCCTTGACCATTCCACTCATAGACAGGGACTCATATCTGAGGCACAAGTGAAAGACACATGGATTTTGTACTGCTTTAGAGCATTACGTGCCCAATGGCTTGAAAGAAGTAAAAACTACCAAATGAAATTCAGCATCCTGTTAACACAGATTTAGGCAAAAACACCCTTCTACCATACAACAACTGGAAAAGACATATTTAGGGCTATGGAAACACTCTGCCATAATTCTGTTTCCTGCATGAATTGTGTAGATCAACCATGTTTGAATATACTTATTTCCATCACATATTTTCTCTTTGTTAGCCCAAGCAAGAGTGAAGCAGGGTGTCAAAGCCTGGCAAAACTTCCTTGGCTTCTGAGATTCCACCAGACATGGTCCATGCTTTGATCAGCAGTCTTTAAGGATTAGGAATGTTTTAAAATATAAAGCAAACTGAAAGCTTAAATCTGCATATATGGATTTACACTCAATCCCAATAGCTAAACTGGTTGTTTGCCAAGGTACAGCTAGGCAATTTTAGACCCTGAACCTAAAGGTCTTAGGGGGAGCCCCTTCCTATCACCTTGTGTATTACTTCAGTTGTGAAACAAGCACCATCGATCCTGCCAGTCTCTCTAATTCCTATTCCTTGCTTTAAAACATGTACTGGGTGCCTAACTTTACAACAACCACCTGTTTGCCAACCATGTTTTAAAAGAAGCTTGAGTGGGTGCAGTTTTCCATTTTGAATTCGCTTGAATCAGAGCCCCGTCATGACTGCATGAATACAATAACGGTTTGTTTTTGCTGTCCTGACTTGCTCATTGCCTGACTTAGGTGGTCACTGGGGGTGAGGCCACTGATTGAAAGGCCCTGGATGTCAGCCGCAAGGTCCAGCCTGAGCTACCCCATTGGCCATTTCTGTTCAGAGCACTGAAAAATGTACAGAGTCTTGGAAAAGTTTGGCTTGGCACTGGCATGACAATAGAGTTTAGCAGTTACTGAAGCCCTTCCTATTTACTGAAAACAGACTTCCACAAAGAGCACAAGTGCAGGATTGCTTACCAGCTTGATAATCATAGAGGGCTATTGCTGTTACTCCGAGGTCATTTTCATAATCGTAAGTATTTTCATCTAAAGAGAAAGAGATACATTACCACCATGCATTATACAACAGAAAGACAAAAGGCTTCCTTAACTCACCTACTTGCATGTGATGGCATTAAAATACATTTCATTTAGTCAGTCATCCTACTGGGGGAGTTACTGTTTTTAAGACCTGGTAATCTGAATTGGCAATTCTAAACATGCTTCCCAGACAATAAGGTTCGGGAGTGTAAGAGAAGCTTATTTCCAAGTGCCTAGATGGATGCCATCAAGCATTCCAGCACTAACAAGTGAAGACTTGCAAATCTAGCTAGTTTGTATTCTCCTAATGTCCCTTTTCAAGTAGCGTTGTCCCAGAATATTTATTGCAATGATATCATGGCCTTCCACCCAGGCATGCTGAAGCTTGTTGGCATTGCTTAGGTGCATCCCTTCTTACCCTCAGAAGGGAAGACAACACCCGCTCATAGGGCCATGTTCTGGGTCCTGTTGGGTGCTCATTTTTTTAGGTATATCTTCTGAAACTACCAAACATAAGCCCAAGAAGAGGGTGGTCTGAGGGTGAGGAATTTATGCCTGACACCCCTGTCATGGTCAGATCACTTCCTCATGAGGTTTGTGCTCGAGAGCGGCCTCTCCCTCTGTAAGGGGGGGTCCACCCTCGGAGCCGGATGGATCCGGACGGATTCCTGAAGGCCCTGGGGGAGTTTCTGGCTGACAAGACTGGTGCTCCTGTCGAGGCTCTGGTCGAACTATGGAACGGGGAGATGACTAGGGCTGTTGACACGATCGCTCCTAAGCGTCCTCTCCTGCCAGGCAGAGCCCACTCTTCCCCTTGGTATACATCTGAATTGCGGGCAATGAAGCAGGCCGGGAGACAGCTAGAGCATAGGTGGAGGAGATCACAGGATGAATCTCACCGAACACACTTGAGAGCCCACTATCGGGCCTATGCTGTGGCGGTGAGGGCGGCAAAAAAGAGATTTTTTTCCGCTTCCATTGCCTCCTCACAATGCCATCTGGCAGAGCTTTTTCGGGTGGTACAAGGGCTGGTCCGTCCTGGCCCTAAGAAAGATCTGGTTCCACTCTCGAAGGCCCGCTGTGACAACTTTGCCAAGCATTTCAGGGAGAAAATCGCTCAGATTCATCACAAGCTAGACTCTACTAGTGATTCAGAGGCTTCTGGGGGGATACCAATGTCGCCGTCTGGTCCAAAATTAATGGATGAATTTCAGTTATTGCGGCCTGATCATGTGGACAAGGTGCTTAGACAAGTATGTCCCACCACTTGCCTATTGGACCCTTGCCCATCTTGGTTAATAAACAACGCCAAGCACGGGATTGGGATCTGGATCTTGGAAGTGGTTAACGCTTCTCTGAGGGAGGGTTGGGTACCTGCCCCTTTAAAGGAGGCGGTAGTCTGACTGGTCCTGAAGAAAGCGTCACTGGATCCAGAGATGGCCACTAATTATAGACCAGTGGCCAACATCCCATTTCTGGGCAAGGGTCCAA